AGTCATTATCGTCTCCGTGAGTGGAATGTTGCAACGGCTACCTCGGCGGCACCAGCGCGATCAACGCGACATTACGACACCTGAGCATCGCCACCGTCCGTCACCGATGGAAGTCGAGAATAAGTTCATCTTTTGTTCAGGAGCCCTCAAAAACAAAGAAAGGCTCTAGACCAGCAGCACGACGTCTGTCGCACCGTGCGCGAATGCTCAAGCAAGGCCCATGCCTCGCTAGACAACCGGTGAGCCACCGCACCGCCTCAGGTCAGCGTTCTTGCATGTACCTAGGTATGATCCAAGTTCTGTCCCGCAGCCTTTATTCCGAGACTGCGTGAATGACAGTTGGCAAACTTCGTCGCACAGCGATAATTCGTTAGAGCCACGACTAGTAAAGAATGTCGAAGGGCGAAGGGCAGCGAGGCTGTCCCGGCGGGAAATTGTCCGCAATGCAACTTGGTCCGCACCCTCGCGCCGCTATGATTCCCTACCCCACATCTTCCGTCTGGGCAGCTGCGACTTGACCGCATCCTCACCACACCGCGCGTTCGAGACCAGCGCAAATCCGATTCGGCTGCCCGGGATATCGATCGTATTCGTGCTAATGCGCATGGCACATGTCGACGGTCGCCTCCGAGGGCTGCATCATCACGAGAACTAGCTGTCGTCCTGGCGACTTTCCCCAGGTTTGCCCATTTTCTTTGGCGCAAACGCACAGCAGCTTGCGTCGCACACAGTCATTTGTTTGCTTGTGACATGTGTAGATGAGGCCTCGCGCAACCGTCTACAGGGAGACTTCTCGAAAGAGCTTTTCGCCCAGCATGGCGCTCGGCAGATCGCCATTCAACAACGCTTGGCAAAGAAAAGTACGAGCCTCATCCACGTCATCTGGATTGGCATGCAGCCAGCGATGATGCGCAGGGGCAAACGTTCTATTTTAAACTTCAGCTCTACAGTGGAATAAAGGGTTGCTCCATCCCTGGCTTTTGCACCTGTATCCCTTCGTTTTACTAGACTTAATACCCTATTCTTAATTCTCAACATGTGGGCTAAAGCTGCTTCTATCCTCGCCCTTGCGACCACCGCCGTCGCTCAGAGCAAAGGCTTCAACTACGGTGCCACCAACGCAGACGGATCATGCCGCGGCTACAACGACTTCGTTCGCTTCTTCAATGAGGCAAAGAGCCTGCCTCAAGCTTCGGGCTTCAACACAGCCCGTCTTTACACTTCGGTTCAATGCGGAACCGCGGCCGATCCCATCTCTGCCTTCCAAGCAGCCATCGACACCGACACTCAACTCCTCGTCGGTCTCTGGGCCAGTGCCGGCCGTGCGGCATTCGAGAACGAACTCAACGCCCTGATTCGTGGCGCCAGGGAACTCGGAACCGCTTTCACAGACAAGATTATCGGCATCAGCGTAGGGTCTGAGGACTTGTACCGCAGCAGCCCGCAAGGTGTACAGAACAACGCTGGCGCTGGTGCTACTGGTGCTGAGATTGAGGGTTACATTGGTTGGATGCGCGACTGGATCCGTGGCACCGCGCTCGAGGGCAAGCCTATCGGCCATGTCGACACATTCACTGCCTGGGTTCTGCCTGAGAACCGCGGTGTTGCGCGCAGCGTGAACTGGCTTGGTCACAACTCATTCCCATACTTCGAGACCACGAGGCCAAACTCGATCGACCTGGCACGTGAGAACTTCTTTGCGGGTCTTGGTCAGACTGAGAGTGTATCTGATGGAAAGCCTGTTTGGGTTACTGAGACCGGTTGGCCACGAAGTAAGTTGTGGAATAATCCTCTAGATGATGATCATACTAATACAAGTATAGTTGGCCCTAACTCTGGCTCCGCCGTTGCCTCTCTCGAGAACTCGAAGCGTTACTGGGACGAAGTTGGCTGCTCGCTCTTCGGTACCCGCAACACCTTCTGGTACACCTTGAAGGACGCCAATGCCGCGCAGACCGACTTGTCTTTTGCTATCACGCCCCTTCAGAACAACACGCCGTTCTTTGACCTGACTTGTTAGACAGCCAGCGCTAGTTGATAGTCTGTATTAGACTCTTAAGACAGCGCATCTTCTTGTATATAACATAGATTTAATGAATCAGAATGGCCGGTTCGGTGCATCGAAACTTGTCAAAGCCATGTTGCAGTACGTTTCAATTGATGTTTACCAATCGCCCTTCACAGTGAATGACGTGAATTCGACCCCAATTCAGCCAACCGCCTATATACATGGAAAAGCCAAAGTCAATCCTGACAAGCGTCTGCATCTGATGAACCACTTAACAGAGACTTGATCCTATACTCCATTTGTCGATAAATCAGGATGAGGGAATGCTTTGCGCATGCGTCGTAAAGACACCCTGCGGATCTAGGTTCGACTTGATCCTCTTCATCTTCTCAAAGTTGTCCCCGTATAGCCTCACGCTCCATTCGTCAACGGAGAGCTCCGTATCTCTGTAATTCACAAAGCCCCTTAGTGGTACACCCTCCTTCTTCAGCTGATCCTGGAAAGGTCGGAAACCAGCTTGCATATACTCAATGCCGTCAGCAGGCCATTGGGTTAGGCCGTTAGCAAGACGTCCTTCCCAGCGGATGAGCCACTGGTTGTTGGAGTAAGCCATCGCCTGCTTTGAGTCGTCAACATCCCTAGACACGCCACCCCATAAGTCCAAGAAGCCAAACTCAGTCAGGTCAGTGCGGTTGAAGGCGATTGTTGTGTACTGGTAGAGCGCTTTGGCGGACTCGAAGGTAAAAGGCTGATCTTTGCGCAGAACCAGTGCTTGCAGGTACATGCTGCGCGGAGGGAAGGCGTCGGTAGTTCCGTTGATCTGTGGAACGGCAAAGTTCTCCATAGCCCAGAAATCCGCCGTTCGCACAGTAGTTGTTGTAGTATTTGGGAGACGTTCGACCAGGCCAGCGAAGAGAGCATCAAACTCGTCCGGGTTACCATAGAAGTACCCACTGCCATTCCATTCGCCTGCCAGTTGCCATCGCAGAGCGAAGGTATCGGGTGCTTTAGTCATGGCCCAATCCTGGATATCAATTAGGGCTTGGACGCCTGTGTCAAGGTCGACAGCACCAAGTGAGATCGTGAAGTTTGTGACAATGTCGAACTCTGGTTTCCAAGTGCTTGTTGTCAGAGACAGAATGATGCCGTAAGAAGAGCCTGCGCCTTGAACAACGAAGAACAGGTCTGGGTTTTCCGTGCGGGAAGCAGTGACCACTGTGCCATTGTATAGCATCACTTTGACGCTGTCGAGATTATCCATAGGAATACCGAGAAAACGACTGGTGGTTCCAAAGCCACCACCGATGGAAGACCCAGAAAGGCCTACCCAATTAGCTCGGACGTGGGGGAAGTGACGCCCGTGGTTCTCCCAAAGCCATGTTGCAGCTGGCCCAACTCGGCTTCCACCGCCATAGCTATGGTCATTAGCACAGAGTAAGTTGAAGTTGATTGCGCGGACACTTACGTGAATAAACCAGTAGCCTCGTCGAATGTAGTCTCCGTGAAGCGCTCCATGTTGATCACAAGCGCTCCATCCACGCCACCCAGCCCATAAGCTCCATAGGAATGTCCTCCATTTAGCGGTGAGACCTTGACACCCGCATCTACGGCGCATGCCAACGCAGCAGCGATTTCGTCTTGGTTGCGCGGAACAACAACTGCGGCTGGTTCTGGGTTGAATCGCAGTGCCCATGGGGACGTAATGGTATCCCAGTTTGTAGCATCAGGAAAGGTCGCCAAAGAGGCTAAGATGGTGGAGCTACTTAAGCAGTCTTTGAGTTTGGTGGCATCATCCTGCGCTGCAGCACGTGGTAAGAGAGATCCAAAAAGTACGATATTCGAGATGAGAGCGAGTAGACCACTAGGCCTGACGCAATGGGGGCGAAGCATGGTGTGTGGTGGATAGTTGTGTATAATGAGCGTGGTAGGGACTATGGCTATCAGGGCACCCTCTTTATATCCAGAAAAACAGCGTATGTCTTCTACCTCATGTCTGGTCAGTAATCAGCTATCCCATCGCCTTCCGCGTTGTCCAAACCATTGGTGTGCTGTTTGCATGATTACGCTTCGGCGCCGAAGCACCCGTCCTGCCATGCGCCCGAAATGAGGCCATTGTTAGTTCTCTATCGGCTTGAGTGCGCGAATCTCATCAACGGGATGTATTAGCGGACTATACACAAAAGCCAAGAGGTGTCGTACGCGTGGCACCTTCATGTAGACGCGATGAACATGGGAGACCCGTCTGCGAGTGCTTTTCCACCATGGGGAGGATTAAATTGCCGGACTTCCTCGAGGATGCCAGAGCGCATGTGTTTTCTGAGAGCTCGAACCCAAGCTGCGCACTGCAAGTAATGCATGGTCTGCGGCTGTTGATAGACAACCTTGGGACTGATGGGCGACGAATGCAGGACGGGGAATGGGGGTTAGATGCGGGAACCATCGCATCGCACTATCCCGAGCCCTCTGACTCGGCTCCTTGACATTACTTTTATTCGTGCACGCTGTCTCCTAGGAATGTAAGACCGATTACTGATATGGGTGTTCTCCGGTAGCTTGGTTTGTTTCACGAAACATGCTCATACGTGCCCAGGTGCGGTTCCAATCGCGCACCGGGTCACAGATGACTCTCCAGACCGAGAGAACTCATCACAAGTGAAAGAGGGTGTCGCCTGGACTTTCGCGCTCGTTTTTGATGTTGAGTGATCGCGAATGCGTCGTGTCATTAACTTGAGAGTTGGGGGGCCGCGACATGTGGAAACCCCAGACGCTAGCCGACAGCTTCCCTGCCAAGATCGACGCGAAACTCTCCACACCATGACATCACGCATCATCATCTTGTCAACGATGGGTTGACTTACCGCTTTCAGGACGCGTTTCGCGGGACCCCCAAGATGATGCAAGAAGCTATGGCGACGATAGACCTTGAAAGACATGAGGCCTCACACAGGGATACCCCGATCGTGGTCTTCTCTTCTCGCGAAATTCTCGAGCCATGTCCACCCCCAGCAATGACAAAGACCGTCTCCAAGACTCGTCACAGCAGCTAGACTACGTTCACGGTAGCTCGCACAAGGTCCTCAACTTCCAAAATGCCAATTCACGGCGCTATGCCGTCAACAACGAAGATGGACACGCAAGCGGGACGGAATGGGAGTGGTGGAGTCGCGAGAATCGAAAGGGTACGTACACAGCTGTATTATATATAAGCCGAAGATTGTACTGACGAGTCTCTTCTCCAGGCCGGCACATACTTCTCCTCAGTCACGGTCAAGCACCCTCGCGCACCGCACGTACTACGCGCCTTCTTCGAGCGCTTGTGCGCATGATCACAGTCGTAGCCTGGTGGGACGTTTCGTGGTGGGTTGGCGTCGTCTTTACTGTCGGCTCGATATGCTCGATCACGTCTGGCGTCCTTCAATGGCTTCCAGTCGCATATCCAGATACGCGATTCGCCGCCGACCCGAGCACCATCAGCGGCGCGATATCCTTCTTCCGTGGAATGTTGTTTCTGCTGGGTGGCATGCTCCTTGTAGTCGAAGCGGTGAACGCCAACCAGAGCGACTGCTTTGGCTGGGCGCTCAAGGAAAGCTTGAACTCCGACAACGAGAACATCGAACTCGCGTCTTCGGACGAAGAGAAAGCGACCGAGAACCCCTCCGGCTTCCAACCCGACCGTCGAAACTGCACGCATATCCACAACCCCGACCGCATGAAGCATCGAATATTGCACACGAAGACGTTCAAGGTTGAGGCACGTCCCCAGTCAGGGCCTGAGCAAGCCTGGAAATGGTGGCCCACGTGGCAGGATGTTCGCGTTCACTATCGTCGAGAGATCGGTTTTAACGCAAATCTCATCCTCTTCATCGGTACAGCCATCTACTGGGTCACGAATCTCCTCACCTTACCAGGTGTATACAAGAACCTCCCGCAAGGTGTGCTCTATGGGCTATACTATCCTTCTTTCCTGCTTGGGGCTATCTGCTTCCTGGTCGCTTCGATACTATACCTGTTTGAAGTGCAGCGCCAGTGGTGGAAGCCCGCGCCGCGCATGGTCGGGTGGTGGGTTGGAATGACAAATCTGGTGGGTAGCATAGGTTGGATCTGGAGTGCTTGTCTGGGATATTGTAGCACAGGTTGGTGCGAGTATCAGAGTACACTGGCTCTGGTATGGGCACCCGCAGTATATCTCATGGGCAGTTTGCTGATGCTCTATGAAGCTGTAGAGAAATGGCCAATCCATATCGAAGGTTAGGGCCGTTCTCGTAGTACTGAACTTTCACTGTCCTCAGAGCAAAATGCAGTGCAGATAGTATTCCAAGACGAACCCAAGAGGTATACGTAGCATCGCCTACGACGTCGACTCATTCTTCCAGCTTGTAAAATGCTACCCACATTTTGAATGTATCGGACAGCAACACGAGAGATTCAACACGAAAAGATCATATCCAGAACGTTCTCGGAACATGACGATTGTTGTGAACGACAGGAGGCTCAAATCAGGCGTTGCGCATCTCATGTGAAACGATCTGAGGATGAATTTTCCGTACCTCTGGCGACACTGACATGCTTTTGATCAATGGCATTGGCCCGGTCTTTCTTCACAGTGTTCAATACCTCTCTGGCATGCTCTTACGGTGATTGCTTAAGTTCAGATTGTGGCACGGCTTCATTGGCAGGCTCGTGACGTCTCGCATCGCGCAGCCACACCCCAAAGTAGCTAGCCATGACGTCAAGACACATTGTTCATGAGAAGTAGATGTTTTTCAAATAGTCGTACAATCCCTACGGCTTCACAATCTTCTTTCCAGTTGATAATATGACACTTCCAGTTACGGGCAAGTCCGGAAAGGACACACTCGCGGCACGCCTCGAGAACGACTTCGAGAAGCGACCCGACCCGGTCGCATTGACCCACAACGCCGATGAGTCGCAAAACAGCTCTTCGGGAGTCGACTATGAGCCACATCCTGAAAATTCGATGAATTTGGAGCCTGCGAGGGAGAAAATAGTGCAGTCTATCTGCAACTTATACTCTGGCAGCGCTAGCGAACAAGACATGATGGTGTATGGCAAAGAGGCGGTATACGACGACCCATGGAGCTATTGCGATACCAGGTATAAGATTGCTGGGCAGTGGTATGGTGAGCAATGCCTAAACTTAAACGGTGATGAGGAGGCACGCTTTGCTAACACCTGACAGGTATCCCAAAACTCATGAAGAGCAGTCGGACGATCAAGACGGAGGTTATTTCCTCCAAGCCTGATGAGATCATCTTCAAGTTACAGCAGGAGTACACTCCAAAACCTATGCCGATTGCGAAGAAGGTCAACAGCTTGATTACACTGACGCTCGATCAAGAGGGCAAGGTGCGGTATCACAAGGTACGCGAAAACCATTCAACAGCGCACGTCTGCGCAACTTCTCATTGAGCTCGAAGGGTTGTTGCTAACACGAGGCAGGACATGTGGAATGAGAAGGACTACAGTCACGAAGGTCTAGGCAAGATCATGAAAGAGTTGAATGGGGATCATCTAACAAAGATCACGCGACCCCCAGCAGATCTGTGATGAAGCAGCAGCTCTCAGAGGAATTACCTCACCCAATATTGAGCGAAAGACTCAAAACAATCATCATCATTCCAAGCTCATGGCTTCCAGCCCCCAGTGCGTGACCTAAACAGACCTGCCGGATCCACTGCATCTGCAACCCTCTTCGCCAACGCCCGGCTCTCAGGCCTCAATCTCCCAAAGTAATCCTGCCGAAAGAACCCATAGTTCATGAAGATTGGCAAATACGCTTCCGGTAGCTTACCCTCTGCTTGCCATGCCAGGACCCTGTTTCTTACGCCAGAATAAGTCGCTTGCATCGTGTCAGCCATCTTCTCATACAACGACTGCGGCGTGAAAGCGTAGTTCATCTCGATGATAATGCGATCGACATCTGCATCAGCATCGATCAGATCAGGGCTTAGTTCCCGGGCCTTTTGCGCAATCTTCTTTGGGAATGGCTGCCATGCGATGGATGCTACGATTCCAGGTACGAGTAGCGTGGTATCAGAGATGTCGCGCCAGTGCTTGTGAAGACCTTCCATGACCTCGACAGCATTGGCGCGGGAAGGCAAGGGTATTGTTTCTGTGGCGATGTCCACGACGTTGCCTTTGATCACGACCCAGTTACTTAGGGCCATGAGATCGGCGTAGGTGCGCGTTCGGGTCGTGTCAAGTAAGGGATCGACATCGGTAAAGTTGTCGAATAGCCCTGCTGGAGGCGTTGGACCATCGTAGAACAAAAAGATGATCCAAGAGTCGACTACGTTGAGATTCGCTCGCTCCGCCGTGACTATAACAGCAGCCTTCTCATCCTCGTTGTACTCTGTCCAGTCACGAACTGCTTGTAGTAGCTGCTTGTCCTTGCTCGGCGTACGTAGAAACACGAGGTTGCCGCCCCAGATGTCGCCTTGTCGGTGAGCCTGCAGCTTATAGTTCGTTACAACGCCAAAGTTGTTACCGCCTCCCTTGAGCGCGATGAAGAGGTCGGGGTGATTGTCGTTCCGGATGTGGCCGATAGTACCGTTGGCGAAGACAATCTCGTACTCGAGGACACTTGACGCAGCCCATCCGTACTGCGTTGACATGTAGCTGAGCCCTCCACCCAGTACTAGTCCGCCGACTCCAGTGTTGCCGATGCGCCCGCCGACAAACGTCCAGCCCGTGCCTTGGAGCTTAGCAGCAATGCCATCAAGCCGGTTACCAGGACCTACGTCGACGATACCTGTGCTGCGGTCGAGATCGGCTTGATCAAAATGCTCCATAGCAATGAGTGGGCCCCCGGCTACGCTACTCCATCCATTGTTGGGATTGTGGCCACCGGATTTGACGGCGAAGCGTTCAGTAGTGTTGGCGAGGATTCGCACCACGGTCGAGACTTCTTCCACCGTCTTCGGGAAGATGATGCAGGATGGGAGGAGAGCAGAGCACGAAGTAGACCAATACTGGGTTTGTTCTTCAATGTAGGCCAGGTTGAGGGGGTATGTGACGGTGATGTAACCGAGAGAAGCGAGCGATGAACAAGTATCGCCGCGGGCCAAAGCTGGCAGCATGAACGCGAGAATAAGGTGAACGAGAGAACCCAACATCTTGAGCTCAGGATCGAAGACGGTGAAGCAGTGGCGTTGTAGTTGTTGCGAGTCACATCTCGATTTATACCCAGGGTTAGCAGCTTGTAGCTGTCAATGACGTGATTTGCGATGCTTCGAGCAAGGTGTAAAAGGGTGCATGCGGAGTGATACATGTGCGTTTAATCACCGTCACGCACGAACCATATGTCGCTTCTCTCGTATGAATGAGCGCAGGCCGTATAGGATTCGATCACTGTCAAGACGGCTATGCCAATGTCTTCTAGAAAGAGTAAGCAGCGTCGCTTACTCACAAGTGGTCTGGCTTCGGAAGATAAGGTTTGTATTGTACTACCTCCAGTGCGCAGCATTGCAGCGTGTCGTCGAATCATCCCCTAGTAATCTCTACCAGTCTTCGTCTCTGCACTCTTTGCCTATTGGTGTATACCAGCAACGGAGGATACCGAGACTTCACCTCCTCCTTCATCATGTGGAAGAGGCTTCGGGCCAAGCGATGGAGTATGGATTGTCGCTCCAACCAAATGCCCGACTGACGAGAATGACAACGCTTGGTAGCTCGTGATCGATAATTTGGGGTCTGATCTGTAAGTCCACAGATATTGCTAAACAATATCTGGAGTAGGGAGGGTCGCGTGAGGAATGTGGCGGTCTTGGTGACTCGTTTTTGTAGCTTGTCTGTATAGGCTGAATGGGTACGAGCTCGGTTGGCCAAGGGCTGACACACCTGAGGGGTGCACCCGCTGCAGCTGCAAGCCCCAATACGAGCGTTAAAGTAGCCCAGAGCCGATTTCGGTACCTGCATTAATTAGCGTAGCATTAGCCGTACAAGACAGAGGACTTATCGAAAAAAGAGTTGGCCATCCCGAAGGACAGCCCTTGAACCACCCACGATGACGCCATGCCACGCTCCCCCATTTTCACACCAATCACAGTTCCAAGAACGACGTCGGTGATCAAGCGGCAATGCGCCCAGGGCATAAGCCAAGAGACCGTGGCGAAGAAAGGTGGTGACATGCCCGCGAAGCAAGTTGTATGGAAGAATGAAGAGCCCACAGGAACTTGTCGCAGGAAATGTTGACAGACAGGTCTAGACCTTGAGCCTCACTCTTGAGAGGTCCCGTCTCCATTTTCTGGTTCGAGAAGCACTGCTTTGTCACTTTCACTGTCCACCAATATGCTGTTGTCGGGTTTCCAGACTCTCATGCTCAGCTCTCTTGTTGTATGGCCAAGCCTAAGAACGCAGACCGATCAACCGAGGTTGTAGGACTTGTCAATGCGATCGTGTGTCGATAGAAGGCGCCGTCGCAACTCCAACACTAACAGCTCTTCTCATCGCTGCAAGACCATCGTCTCCGTGCTCCAGCTCGCGTGAACAACAAGATCCTAGTCAACTTGGCACAACAGACACGCAACACTCACCAATGGACACAATCATCATGGGTTGTTAAGCCAAGATGCTTCTCTCTGTGCGTAGTGACAAGACTTCCTGAGACTAGTCTTTGTTTCCGCTCCGCTTTCTTGAGAAACGAAGGGCATGGTGATACGGACAAAGGACATCCTCAAAAGCCGCATTGACGATCGCAACAGAAATAGAATTGCTCGATCGGATGGGTAGACGCTCGTCAATTCATACGTATGCTGAACATACGTGTTGACGACTAACGCGACTGGTCAGATATCACCCTAGAGTGACTGGTGTCGAGTGGTATTACTGTGACACCGGCTTCGTAACGTAGTAGATGAAGGAAGAGGTTGGAGATCCGATGGGGACTTTCGTCCCTGTGGGCGAGATGCACGGGTACTTCGTCGCCCTACACGAGTCCGGCTCGAACAGATTGCCATGCAGTACAAACGCCACATACTTGATCCAACACATGTAGACACAGCAGACTTTTCGTGCTTCGAACGTCAAGACATCAAATCCGGAGCGTGACGGCCCGCCGTAGCTGACAACACCAACCTGCGACGTATCGAGACCTCGCTAGGCTTTCGCCTTTCCGACGAGTGGATCTCACGCCAGCTGAAGCCGAACAAGTTGATGTGTCTGTATGTCTGGCTCGATCAATGTCAAGGCCGCGCTCTTCTTCTATCCCGTTGCTGTAGGCATGACGTCTGCTGGTAACATGGCGATAGTTGGCATCAGGTGTTGCAGCTCCTGTATGGCTCTCGGAATCGAAGAGACTGTGATTTAGGCGCGATGATGAAACCCAAAGTCGATCCTCTAGTGAGGCGACCGGCGTCTGACTTCAGAGCTCTCCTCTTCGCCTCGTCGCATTCGTCGTGAAGCTATCTTTCGTGACCAGAGTCTGTTGTACAGATGAGATGCCGACGTGGTCCTCGTGCGAGAACTTTAATACCCCGACAGGCACATGTCATCCCAATTTGAGCTCCCGCTCCCGTACCTCGAGTCTTCCTTTTGCACAACAGGCAAGTGGGTCTACGCGAGCAGACCAATATGCAGGGGCTAGTCGGAAGGTCGGCGACATGACCGCGATACTATCCGTTGTGTTACAAGCACATCGAATACCGGAAGATGATTAGGGTTAAGATCCGAGCCTGCCCTCCTCACACACAACCCCAGTGTTTCCACCAAGGCGCACAGACAGCATGCAAACGACCCATTGAGACCATGCTGAGAGGCTCGGGCGTGTGATGACTGCGCAAGTGCATGAGGTGCGGACGAACCGCATTCCAAATGGAAGACAGACATCGGTAACTGTGGGGGAAGTGACTTGTGGGGTGCTTGCAAGCAAGCGAGAGAAGAGGTTGTGTCCAAGGGGAGCGTTGCGCGACAGTCCCGCCGCGATTGACATGGTCAGACGATGTTGGTGACGCTTGCATGGCTCAGGATCCAATCGAGACGCGATAAGAGGTTGTAGCGTTTGAACAGAGATGGACGTCGTGTGGCGATGGGTACGTCGGGGTGGTTGTTGGATTCATGTCGGCAGGAGCAGGGCGAAGACGCGTCGCCTCGCGCCAAGAGATCGCGCCTGCGTCGCGTCGAATCGACGCTAGCACGTGAGACCCATCCTTCTCTGACAAATCAGCAATATCCTTCTCCGCCTCCCCGTTGCCGTTTCCCATCGCACCATCTCACGTAACAATAAATAGCAAATTCTCTGAGATCTAGAGAACATCGTTGGGCTATATAGAGCCTTCGTGGTGGACTTCACACATCTATCGTGAGCAACACGCTCCGGCAAGACAGCCACCACCATACCCACAGCCGCGCTCAGTACTTTGCGCCCAGCTTCGCGGCACCGCTAAGCACGATGGGAGCGGTCGAAGATGCAGTGGATGCGGCAGCCAACTTCATCGGCCCATTTGTCGATAAGGACCGCAAATACAGTGCCGACGTGCCAACCGACACTCTCGTTGAGCAAGCGCTTGTCCACCTTCAGGCCATCAACACTGCAGACCTAGCCGCAGATC